ATCTTTTGCAATTTAAAAAAAAAAAAAAAACAATTGCAAAAAATGTACTGTCTGCCAACCATTTACCATGACATGCTTATTTTAGTGCATGGTAGGTAACCAATTAGACTATAGCACTAGCAATAGCAGTTAGACTTATATACTGCTTCATAGGGCTTTCAGCCCTCTCTAAGCGGTTTACGGAGTCAGCATGTTGCCCCCACAGTCTGGGTCCTCATTTCACCCACCTCGGAAGGATGGAAGGCTGAGTCAACCCTGAGCCAGTGAGATTTGAACCGCTGAACTACAGATAGCAGTCAGCTGAAATGGCCTGCAGTGCTGCACTTTAACCACTGCGCCACCTCGGCTCATTCATTAGCAGACTATTCTGCTTTAATACTATTTTAAAGGATTATGGGGAAAAAATCTAGATGTGCTGAGAAATATTTTGTAATACATGAAGGTGGCCTCTGTTATGTCATGGTGAACCAAATTGGGTGCTATCCTTTCGCTGAGAGAGAAAAGGGGTTATGTGGCAAGGAATAAATCTCTTATTAGAATAGCCAAGCTTCTCCTGGCTATTGTGGTGCAAGGAAAACATTGATTGTTATTTATTTCCCTGCAAGGGAGACAGAGAAAGCAAAAGGCATGCATTTCATGCACTTTGCTTCCTGCACATGTACTGTATGTGTATCTTTCTCCTCGTGTGCTTGGATAAGGGGAGGATTCTGAGAACCTTTTAAGTAGCAGTTAACCAGTGGACTTTGACTTCTCCAATGTTCTGGCCTGCTTCAAGAATGCAACCTGATATTAAATACCTTTCATTGTTGCTCTTAAATGGAAGTTTGTACAGCGATTTGAAGTACAAGAATGATCTGGCTAGTGCAGTTTGGGTGATTCTTGATTCCTGTCTTCCCGGTGTTGCATAGATGAGAAGCTCTTATATATTCTCAAGACTTTAGCATGTAACAGCTCTCCTGCTTTTTCAAACTCTTAGCATGGAATCCCTCGTACAGGGGTCGGCAACCTTAAACACTCCAAGAGCCACAAAAGTCCTAACCGAAATCCCCCCGTCCAATTCTGGAGCCAACCGGAAGTCCAGTTCCCCACCATAGAGTCTCCTCCTAGCATGGCGTCCTTTTTCCTCTGCCAACCAGAAGTCCGGTCCTCCCACAGGGAGCCACAAAGGTCCTAACCGGAAGGCCGCTGCTCAATTCTGGAGCTGACCAGAAGTTTACCCCCCCCCCCAAATAGAGTCTCCTCCTAGCATGGCATCCTTTTTCCTCTGCCAACTGGTCCAGGTCCCACACAATAGAGTCTCCTCCTAGCGTGGCATCCTTTTTCCTCTGCCAACAGGAAGTCAGGTTTCCCCTCACCATAGAGTCTCCTCCTAGCATGGCATCCTTTTTCCTTTACCAACCGGAAGTCTGGCTCCCCCTACCATAGAGTCTCCTCCTGGTGTGGCATCCTTTTTCCTCTGCCAACTGAAAGTCCGGTTCCCCTGCCATAGTCTTCTTCTAACACAATGTCATTTTTCCTCTATCTGTCCTAACCAAAAGCCCTAACCCTAACCCTAATCAATTGTGGAACCGACCAGTGACAGGGAGCTGCAGCAGAGGGATGAAAGAGCCACACACGGCTCCAGAGCCGCAGGATGCTGACCCCTGCCCTAGTGTAACAGAAGACTTAGCTTTCTGGCACCTTACCTCTCTGCTAGTTTTGGTAGCAGATGCAGGCTTTTTGCCTTGTCCCACCACAAGAGTTTTCCCCTTCTGCACGAGCTCTTTGGAGAGGTTGTGTTCTGCCTCCGAAGCTAGGAGCAGTTGTTTGAGGACTTGCTCCAGGCTGATTTCTGTGGCCACCTGAACCAAAGCGAAGGCCTGCTTACGTTTCTTGATCACTTCAATATCGTATCTTTGGAGCGTGACACTTGCCATCCCGAGGATGTCCTTCAGCATACTGCCAAGATCTTCACTGGAATGTTTGGGGTTTAAGTTTCCAATGTAAAGGAGATAGGTTTGGATCTGACCAGAATGATCAGCATCTTCAGCTTTTGCTTCTTCCAAAGCTGCCTCTGGAACCTGATCTACATTGCTGGCTACTTGTACGGCTTCTACTACGATTTCTGGAATTATTTCCATTTTTGAGACCTTAAAGAAAGGTTTGCATTTGGTTGTATTTCTCAGGGGTTGCTAGATGGAGCACAGAAGAGCTCATTAGGTCATTCTACATGGGTCTTGCTTGAAGGCATCGGTAGTACATGATTCAAGAATGACCTCTTCTTTTATGGCTTGCTTCTGCGAAGTAGAAACAGAATTTGGCTCTTACAAAGGATCACGGGCATAAAACCTCTGTATGGAGATCAAAGCTTATGGGAGAAACAACCCCCCCCACAAAAAAATGTCATGTAGGAGAAATGGAGTGTGGGTGTTAATTGTAATCTGGTCATAGGAGATTGTTGCTGGTGTTACTTGGCAGCAACCTTTCAAACAATAAGAGTATGAAAGCTTTACAATCGGATTTGACTTAATAGATCATATAATGAAGATTCAGATATTAGATTTATGCAGTGGTGGGATTCAAATAATTTAGCAACCGGTTCTCTGCCCTAATGACCAACTGAGTAGGCGGGACTCGGTGGTCATAGCAATAGCAATAGCAGTTAGACTTAGATACCGCTTCATAGGGCTTTCAGCCCTCTCTAAGCGGTTTACAGAGTCAGCATATCGCCCCCAACAACAATCCGGGTCCTCATTTTACCCACCT